AGTCACATTGTTTTACTTAAAAAATCGTACTTTCAGAAAAAATTCGTGATTTTGCTTAAAAGTTAGATTATTCGTAAAAAAATGGTTTTTTTGGTAAAAGATAGCTTTTTTATAAAACAAAACATTTCTTAGCAAAGAAAGTTATTTTTTAGCAAGAAAAGAATTTTTTTACAAAAGAAATAACTTTTTAGTAAAAAAATGAAATTTTTTACAAAAAATTATCTTTTGGCAAAAAGAGTTTTTTTTTACGAAAAAACATAAGCTTTTAGCAAAATAATGAATTTTTTCTGAAAGTATGATTTTTTAGTGAAACAAGTGACTTTTTTGATAAAAAAATTCTTTTTGAAAAAAATCAAATCCAACATTTCAAAAAGCCGATCGTGAATTCGAATTCCTCGACTTCGAAAACCTTAAGTCAAACTTTATACGAAATCATTATTTTTCAAAAACAATCCTTTTCCTCGAACTCTTCAAGTCTCATTATCTCTTGTAAAAGGATACTGTATCTTTATTTCGTAAAGTAAGATTAAAGGATTACCCCTAATGGAGATCATAAAATAATATAGAACGATAGCAAGGTATACTTGTTTCTTCATGTACGGAATAATACAGCTGCTGTATACAGTCATCATATGATCCGTTTTTGAAATTTGTAGGAAAACCGAGCAAACAAGACTACAGCAGTCACGGAAGAATACAATACCTTCGGTATACCGTGAAATACTGTTTTTTTTTGCACTTCACTTCATTCTTTCATCCTATTGACTCGTGTATTTTCCTCTACTTTGTTTCTCATGTCAGCGTAAATATATTGAAAGTATAGGGTAGGAGACGTAGGATACAGTAGTAAATTAGAGAATTTTAATATATATAGAGCATGCCAAAAGTTTTCTCACTCAGCTCTTCTAAAAGCCATAACTCGAACATTATTATTTCGTCACAATGCTTAGACATAATTTGGATGATGTGCTAAATTTCAAGATTGTAACTCTCTTGGATTGTTAGATTGTTTAAGTTCTTGTAGATTAGTGTTACACTATTTTTAAAATAACGTTGGAACTTAAATAACCATGAATGCAAATTATGATTTTATATGATTAAAAAGGTGGCTTAACGCACAGGAAAAGCCATATCTGTTTACGGCAGGTATCTATGTAGCAAGTACTTTCAGACAGTACAGTTCTCGTTTACTCTCGTGAATATCATCGGAACAATTTCGAGAATGAATGAGTGTCGGTGTGGATGTTTAGATGTGCGTCTGGGCTTGGATCTTCTTTCCACCAACACCTACACTCACACCCACCAAATATAGGTAAAAGTTGGTACGTCAATAGCTGCCAAACAAAAGTCTTAAAATCGTATCAAAAAAGGAACAAAAGAGCGGCCTTTGAGATTTCAATTTCCATGATGATAACGTGAGACTATATAGAGCATGGTTTTCAAGCGAATTTTCGGAGAAAACTCATGCAGAATCAGATCCAAATCGGTCATATTCTTTAGATCTCAACTCGTACCACTTCTTCCTGTTTTCAAAACTAAAAAAATTAATAATTTGAGATTTAATTCAATGACAACAATGTCGTGCTAAATGTGCTAACACGAGCCATTAACAGTGCCATAAATGACAATGTAAAAAGTCTGCATTCATCACTGCTTTTATCGAATGAACGAATCCAGTGATCCTCAAAGACAACAACTTGAAAAACTACACTAGAACTGTTCTTCAAAAACTTACTTGAAGGGCTTGAGAAAACAACTTTTTGAGTACTCTATGTAATTTAGAAACGTAGGGTGAAGGATATAGCCAGAAAATCCAATTTAGAGAAGAGTCATAGTATATGAAGACGTATAGAATACGGAACATGTGATAAAGAAACTGAGAGTAGCAAGATGAAAGGATAAGAAAGTGTGTGCCGATCAATGGACGTACTTTGCTTGTATAGATGAATACACTCTACAACCGTATACAGTTAAAATCTGATCGTACGTAGGATCAGTATTTATTAGTCTCACGAGAGAAGTACCACAACTAGTTACAAGCTTTCGAGCTGATATTTTGCCCACAAGTAAGGCTTGATGGGACTAAGAAAACGTTACAACCGCTCATATCTATGGCTTGTTCGTCAAAAGTTACAGCTGTTTTACTGAATTTTCGATCTAGAGCACAGTATCTACAGCAAAGTCAAATGAAGGTATTTGGATCTGAAATTCTGTCCATAAATAGGTCTAATAATTTCTGATATATATCAAAGTTTTTATTCAAAACGAACATTTCCTTTTCGAGATATTGAATTTTCAAAAAATGTTCTCTTATAATAGACAAGACACAATACTGAAGCTGTTCTGAAAATTCGTTATCTCGAAAAGAAAGCATTCGTTTTGGCTGAAAATTTTGGTACATGTTAGAAATCATTAGACCTATTTATGGACAGAATTTCAGACCGAAATACCTTCATTTGACTTTGCTGTAGATGACGTGTTCTATGTTGAAAATTCAGTAAAACGGCTGTAACTTTTGACTAACAAGCCATGGGCATGAACAGTTTTAAGGTTTTCTTAGTCTCACCAATCCTTACTCGTGGGCAAAATATCAGCTCCAAAGCTTTTTAACAGTTGAGGTACCTCCTTCATGAGTCATTTTATTCTTTTTTGTCAAATGATTTCACTCGAGAAAGATTTATTTTTATTTACTAATAGTACCATTTTCCCGTTTCTTTATTATTTTTGCATATTGTATTCAATCAATAAATGATTGACTTTATCATTTTACATTGATTTGAATAATTTGGTAGCTTTTGATATATTCGAAATGGTTTTGGCTTTCATCATCGGTGGTGGTCTTGCCTTTCTCACAACTGTTGTTCTTTCGAAAATTTCCAAAAAGATCGATAGTATTCGATATGATGTCAAGGATTTTGTGAAAATAGCTGCAGACACAGCGACTGATGTTCGACATGATTCGGTTGGCATTGTTACACGCCTTGTGCTTACGATCGATGAAATTGCACACAATCTAACTAAAAATATCGATGAATTTACTCATGTCTTTCTTGAGTCTCTTACAATGCTCACTCATCGTATCGATATTAGTGTTCGTTTGTTGACAAATGTCGTTGTGGCTTTCCTTACTTGCTGTTCACTTGGTCTTCTTTTGTACTTAACCGATTTCTCACCTTTTCTTCGTACCATTGTTTGGTTCGTGTTAGTTTTACTTTGTTTTTATATGGTTCGTAACTATGTCCAACATTCAAATTTGGTAGAATCTTCGCAACAATATGTTCCTTCAGTATATTCAACGATGGACAAAAAGAAAACGATTAAAGGTGAGAAAAATACAAATGATCTGATTCTTTTCGATAACAAAAAACTGTTTTTTTTAAAGTAAATTTTTCATTTAAAAATTCAGAAAAAAAAATTCTATTAATAGAAATTGTGTAGAGCTTTGAGCGAATTTATCAATTTTTTTTTAAATAAAAACTCGTTCAGATTTAGGAGGGAAAATAAGCTGTCCCATTCATCGGGATTTACTATCAACCTGATGATAAAATAAATCGCATACCATGTTTTCCGATTGCTATAACTCTCATTCTGAGTAATTTGACCAGTATAACTCGGTTGCACTTTTGCGATTAAGTAAATCAGGAAAAGAAACAGAAGAGAGAAAATGAAGGATAAAATATCGGAATGTATGTTTATAATTATCCTTTTTATTATTACTTTGGCGACAGAAAAAAAGAAAATTATGCAATTATCCGCTGTAGAAAAATAGATTGTTGTATACACCATAAAATGCCAAAACAATGTTAAGATTTGCATGTATTTTATTTGAACAAGCGTTGTCCAACAATATTGTGATAGTACACGCTAGAGGCATATAAAAAGAGAGGATCATTATATACAAAGTTTAGATATATATGTTCTTTCTCTTTCTTTCTATCAAGTCTTTCTACTTTTTTCCCTTGGTTTTTTCCTTTATTTAATGTGATCATTTAGGTATATGCCAAGTTTATTATGTTAACGTTTGATAAATTTCATCTAATCTCAAATATAGAAATTTGTTACTTCTTTTGCAAAAGTTATTTTCTTCAGTTTCAAATCATTTTTCTTACACACACTAGCATATAACAAAGAACTGAGCAATAAGTAACGTAACAAATTGTTTCTTACTTCAATATTTGAAGTCACTTTTTGTCGTATCAAAAAGTTTTCTGTATGATAAATCTAATGTTTCTACTTCTCCCCTTAGAAGTGAGTAGGGGTGGGAAGTTACCGTTACGTTACCAAGTAACTAGTAACTCTCAAGTTACTAGTTACCGAGTAACTAGTAACGTCGGAGTTACCAGTTACCAGGTAACTAGTAACTTCGGAGTTACTAGTTACTTTTGGTAGGTAACTTGTCTAAGAAGTGGAGATATCGCTTCCTAATGAGTGAATACCATCATTACAGTACTTATTCAGCTCACGAGTTACCGAGTAACTAGTAACGCACATAGGAGTTACTAGCTACCAAGTAACTCGTAATTTAATTGAGTGATGAATAGATGATATTCAGTCATTAGGAAGCGATATCTCGACTTTTTAGACAAGTTACCTACCAAAAGTAACTAGTAACTTCGAAGTTACTAGTTACCTGGTAACTGGTAACTCCGGCGTTACTAGTTACTCGGTAACTAGTAACTCAAAAGTTACTAGTTACCCGGTAACGTAACTCCCGGGTAACGGTAACTTTCCACCCCTAGAAGTGAGCTAATCTAAGATTGCCATAAAAGCTTTTAGTTGACTTTGGGTGAAAGTGATAGTATATCTTTTTAAAATATTTTAATTCATTATCGGAAAAAATAATTTTATTTTCAAAATTTAAACGAAAATAGTTGAATGTCTCAATAATAAGAAACGACTTCTTCTGTTTAGGAGCAACAGTGATCAGGAATATGGTTAAACCTCTAATAAAACAGACGCTAATTTCGAAGAAGTTATCATATAAACCATGCGCTCTCGTTATGGGACGAACAGGAGCTGGAAAAACGACGTTGGTCAATGCACTTTGTGGAACACGACATGAATCAGGCGCAGGAAAAGGAAGTGTGACGCGAAATCTTTTTCGTAATGATGTCGGTAATGGTGAAAATGCATTTTCTTTAATTGATACACCTGGAACTGATAGTTCTATTGAAACATACAAACATGCTTTTTTATTAAGAGAAGCTTTAACAGCAACAAAAATGAATACTATTTTTATTGTTATTAAATACGATAGTCGATTTGATAAAATGATAGACAATTATTTTGAATTAGAACAACCGGTCTACAATTATGGCAATAAAATAATTGTAATGATTTCTCATTGGGATCAATCGAAGGAACCAGAAAAGGATTTTCGAGAAATTTGTGAATTATTTCAAGATGAATGTACAAATATAAACAATATAATATTTTATTCGGAACAAAGTTCGAAAATAGAAGTGGCAAATTTAATGTACACATGCATATCAAATATGGAAGAAGAAAAATTAGAAATAAAGGACGAAGACTTTTTTTTACAATTTAATATATGTCAAATGAAAAGTCAAATGAAAGTTTCCCTCACTCATTATCAAAAAAAAGCAAATTTACTCTCACAAGAATATACAGAATTGATAAATTCAGTTAAATCTGAATCTGTTGAAGATAAGGATGAAGTTTTACATATGACCATAGTCCAATTTAAAAATGAAATGGAAACATTACTACAGGAATTTCGACTTCAACATGGTGGTGCAATGGCAGAATTAGATTATTATACATTCTACATTAAAATGGAGAAGGAAAATGTTAGAATTTGTGATGAGTTTGTTGAAAAAGTAGTACCATTAATGTCTTATAATTTATTTGACAACCAAGATCCGAGAAATTTGATCAAAAAATGTCCATATTGTGGTTTAATTTGGTTCAAAACAGAAGGTTGTGATGGAACCACAACGTGTGGCAACAATAAATTTGACAGTTATTACGACGTCAGTAGTAAAGCTTTTTGGAAATATCATTTGCAACGAACAGATGGAAAGCTTCAATGGACAAAAAACCCAATGAAGAAAAATATTCTTGAAGAATCGACTCGAGATGGTAAAGAAACACTTATACGAAGCGTGCAATGGGTATCCACGATAATCAAAGAATGTAGCGATGATGCAAATTCAAAGCGGGTGGGCTGTGGAAAAGAGTTCAAATGGAGTCAACTTCCAAAAGTAGACGATGATTTAATTCTAGAATTATTCAAAGTAAAAACAATCGATCAAGCTAAACAATTAATTCAAGCCGGCAATTTTAGAGATGTCAAACAAAATTACGAATTTTGTATCGACTCCACTTTTTATTTTTGAATATTTCATTATTTTCATTATATTAAATAAACCGGAATATATACAAAATAAAACTAAAAATTTCTAAAAGAAAAATTTCAACTAAAGAATCACATATGGGTGTGGGTGTGTGCGTTGGTGGGTGTGGGTGGGTGTGTGTGTGGTGTGGGTATGGGTGTGGGGTGTGGTTGGGTGTGTGCGGGTGTGGGTGTGGGTGTAGGGTGTGGGGTGTGGGTGTGGGTGTGTGTGGGTGGGTGTGGGTCTCGGTGTGGGTGGGTGGATGTGGGTGGGTATGGGTGTGGGTGGGTGTGGATGTGGGTGTGGGGGTGTGAGTGTGTGGGTGTGGGTGGGTGTGGGTATGGGTGTGAGTGTGGGTGTGAGTGTGTGGGTATGGGTGTGGGTGGGTGTGGGTGGGTATGGGTGTGGGTGTCGGCGTGGGTGGGTGTGGGTGTGTGGGTGTGTGGGTGTGGGTGTGTGGGTGTGGGTGTGGCGTGGTTGGGTGTGGGTTAGTGCCAGGGTGTGAGTGTTATTACCTTTATTGTCTCACACCCACACCCACACCCACACCCACACCCACACCCACACCCTCCTTGCATCATTTCATGCTTCATTTCGTTTCTGCCAAAACCTATCAGTCTCACGGGCGCATTCTATAGCAGCTTTATTGTCTCGTACATGTCACATAATGAGCATCCAGTTGTTCCAAATGACACAAACATTACACAAAGTCACAAGCGTCTATTATGATCCATGTTCATTTTAACTATTCTAATGAAACTTTCAGTATGTTAACTAGGATTTAAGAATTTATTGATGATAATTCTTGCTGTTTAACGGTGAATGTGAATGACAATGAAGATAGAAAACTGCTATTCACACTCCTGAAAAAACAGTTTGCTTTCTTTCAAGGGAGTAATGCACATTGACGCACTGTGAAAGTATGAGAAAATCAATCAATATTTCTTCGAGCTTCAAGACTGTTGAAGTCTGTAGCAAATAAAAAGAGTCATCAATCTGCTCCACAGGCCATGACAAAGCATTCGTTATGGCAAAGGAACGAATTTGAAATTCTGTATCTTTTGAATTCGGGCTCTACTGTAACGTTTGCTTTTACAACGATAGGATGCAAGAAATGAAATCTAGGACTATGATTCACTTGTCAGATCCGTCAAAATGGTTAGAATTTGGTTCATGCTAGTTATGGAAGAGATTGCCAATTATAATATTCAGAAGAGAATAATTTTTCTCTTGTCTGGCAGCGACATATCTGTCAATACCATGTCAATGAGCAGATAAACTCCAATCGAAATGTAGTACACCTCTTTAAAGAATCAACAGAACACACTAAAAGAAAGAGAAGCAAGGATAATGATTCACAACAAGTGTTGTGTAATAACTACTGTCGTGTATACATGCGATTTTGTATTCCTCATAACAGAATAAATGATAATATGATGTCGTCTACCTTTGAAACATTGCCTGATGAAATTCTCATGATCATTTTTCGATATGCAGGCAATATTTATTGTATTTTTCATACATTTTTGGGTTTGAAACAACGTTTCAATAGAATTCTTGTCGATCGACGGTTACATCTCTTGACCGATTTCTTATATATCAACCATCGAGACGCTAATGTCGATCATTATTACAATTCTTGGTTAGTTCGTATGTTAATACAAAAGTTGTGCTTATTGCGAAGCCACAATCTTAACACTGAACTTCGTCCATGTTTTCAAATGCTAGCAAGCTTTCATATTCAAGAAAAATATCGTCAAGTCGAACATGAATTCCTGTCTAATCGTGAACGATTTCAATCGATACGTGCCAATCTTAGTGGTGAAGAAATTCTTCTTCGAGATGCGATATTGAAAAAAGCTTTCAATGAATTAAAATCTCATTCAACAACACTCGAAAATATACAACAACTGAAAGTTATTGTTCTTGAAAAAGGTGCTCGATTAGAATGTATCAATAATGAACTAGATGAATTCAATCTGGCTCATGCACTCAATCAGTATTTGCTATGCTATTGTAATACTCTTCGAGATTCCAATCGATCATGTTTGGATTCTATCGTAGATATGTTTAAAATATTAATTATTTCAAATCCAAATCTTATCAAAAGTAAAGATTATGTCGGTAATGGTGGTTGTCCAATATATTTCTTTCTCATCTATACAATCTATCGATCACAAGATTTCTATTCTTGTTCATCATCAGTCTCAATTGACGTGCGACGATATCAATCTATTGTTGAATTATTCCTTTTTACTACTCAAGGTTTAAAACATATTTTTAATGAAAATACATGGATGATTGATTGTCTTTTAAATAGTTTACAATGGATGAATTCAATTGAAAAACAGATCAATCAACAGATAATAATTCAAACAAATCAAATGGAAATATTGAAAATTTTATTCGAAGAATTTATTCCAAAGGAAGTACTACTGGTCGGTTATTGGGAACATACGTTGCAAAGAGGATTCCATAATTTGATAATAAAAAATCGAATTGATATTATCGTCTTCATTAGTCATTAGAAAGAATTTTTACAAAATTTTCTTGATCGATTCGATAACTATCGAAAATTGATTAATATGATGACTGGAAATCGAGATGGAAGGTTGCTATTCAAACGACTTTTAGAGGAAAAAACTCTAAGAGCATGGTTAACAAGTATCAAATTGTTATTTATACTATTAAACAAGAAAGAATGTAAATTAATCAAGAAATTATTACGATTAATACCTAATTTAATTCAACAAACAGATGATGATGGTAATGATCCATTGCTTTATGTTTGTCTTAAAGTAGTCGGTTGTCGACATCATTTAGTTGCATTTTTAATTACGATGGGATGTGATTTAGAGAGACGAAATATTTATGGTCAACATTTTTTTCAAGTTCTACAAGGAAGAAAGAATAGAAAATTATTGGAAATATTAATTGAACGAGGAACAATCGTAATAGAAAAGATTTGGGTGTGGATGTGGGTGTGGGTGTGTGGGTGTGGGTGTGGGTAAGGGTGTGGATGTGGGTGTGGATGTGGGTGTGGGTGTGGGTGTGGGTAAGGGTGTGGGTGTGGGTAAGGGTGTGGATGTGGGTGTGGGTGTGGGTAAGGGTGTGGGTGTGGATGTGGGTGTGGGTGTGGGTGTGGGTGTGGCTGAGGGGCATCTGATCCCACACCCACACCCTCAAGTATGAAACAGAATATTTAAATGATTATTAAACCTTTATTTGAAAATACAGCGAAAAAGAAACCGAGCCAATAATTATCTCAGAAAAGATACAAAAAGCAAAAAAGAAATAATGTATGTCCGACAAATATCGGTCATAATTCAGTCAAGCAAAGTAAATTGATTATGTTTATATGTTGCGTCGCTTAAATGACGACATGTGTGGAGCTGTCGGTTCAGAATGTTGAACTAGAGGTGCTTGCATCATTTGATTCATTGTAAGTCCAGCAGTATTACATAGATCTGTAGAACAACAGGTGAGATTTAATGAAGCATATGCTAAGCATGGATCTCGTAATGGAATTGTAAAAGGGGGAATCGTAGCATAAACGTGGGTAAATTTATCGGAGGTACGGTAGTCATATTAAACCGAATAATATGTGTAAAGACCAGCATCGTAGGGCTTGGAATGGTGATGTTTGGTGTCGGAATTGTAATCGTAGGTATCTGTGGATGGAAGGTCGGTACATGAACAGTAAACGTCAGTATAGTATACTGAATCGTTCGCATAGTATATGTAACTGTCAGTATGTTAGGCGATATTGTTGAAAAATTTACATTGATGGTCGGTATAGAGGGTGTCGTGAAAGATATATTCGTATTAAATGTCACGTTAATTGTTGGAACGGTAAACTGCAACAGAAACAAATTATGTTGAATGTATTTTTAACAGTTGCTAACTGTTGTTACTCAATAATTTTACTATAAAAGTTGGCATCGTTGAAAGAGTAGGAAATGTTACTGATGGTACATGAAATGGAATTGTGAGCATGTAAACTCCAATCGATGGTATGTACGATTCTATGGTGAACGTGGTCAAATTACATTGCTGGAAACCATTTAAATAGATCGTAGAAAACATTTCTTGTAAACTTTGACATGATGATGCCGCAGCAATCGAGTACACCCATCTTCACAAACCATATCTCTGTTCATCCGGTGTACAGATACTGTTGGTTGTCAAGGATGGTAACAAGTAGCTGACACAAACTCAGTTATTCGTTGGACACACACTATCAGACACTTCAACTTTCACAATGGTGAAACTGTTAGAATCTGGCACCAACTTGTAGCATCGTAAACTACTAACAAATGTTTGGTTGATGATGAATAATAGGAAAAGTGTAGCGATAATCATAGTAATCGCTTGATGAGTAGCAATGATGTCAGTAACGACAACACTCTGTATTTATAAATCGTACTAAAACGTATTTATTCAAGCATGACTTCAGTATTTTTTGTTTTTACCTTTCTTTCTAGGTAACGCCCATCTAATATTGATAATTAATGTTTTATATTAAATGTATTGATCTTATTCGAATGTGTTAGAAAAGAAAGTATTCTTTTCGACTCTTTTTGTTATTATTGATGCAAAATAATCCTAGAAAATTCTTCAATAGATCTCTAATTAATTCAATCAACAGACTGAAATCGATGTCAAACCTTGATATTATTATTGAATAAAATTTTTTAATAATTCATGTTGGAAGTTTTTCTGCTTTACATTAAATAAAAGGACATGACATATTATTTGTTGCGTGGGAAACATTGGCAAATTTCGTCAGCTTTAATTCGATTGTGTAAGTATATACGTTCGATAAATTATTCATTCAAAAGATATTTGATTTATTTTTCTTTATCTTAATGTGTTCTCTATATGTTGCCCATCTATCGTATAATTTATTTATTTATTTCTCTTGGTCGCGTATACATCGATTTTTACGTTCTCCTTGTGTTTCCTTTTTTGGATATATCTCTCCTCATCCTTCAAAAACACAATGGGAGACATTATTCACTATTGACACTGAAGCGTTAGCAACATCTAGCGCAGATGCAAAACTGCTTTGTATCAGATCAACAATTAGCAGAAATCGACCAAACAGTGGACTCATTTTAACATCTAATCAGTCATTTAACAACTCGAATTTATCTTGAAAATCACAGATAATCTAATCTACACACACGAAAATAAGATGTAATTGTAACGAAAAATGATCGAGATAATTGAACTCAGTAAGTTCTTGGCTTTGTTTCTGTTGATTCATGCACACTTTCGTTACTTGTCGCTATACACTTGCTCTTTTATTTCAACCACATTCTTCTTCTTTTACATATTAAGTTACACACCACTAAGTATATCACTCCCACACGTGTATATCGTTGTTCGATCTTACTCTCACCGCTCACTATTATCAACTGTCTATATTCTCCACTGTTCTCTTTTCTCCTTCATCTTAACCTTCTCGTGAAGAGAGAACAATGTGCATATATGCAGTGAATAGCGCAGCGATTACAAAGGTATTGAAAAAGTATTGAACACTGAACAGTATTACGTAAGGATACAAGGTTCACATCATGGAAGGATGATATGAAATAAGAGCGAACTAACGTAAGGATGATGTCACATACTGGTGATAGTATGTCACATCGGTGTATCTCTTGGCACAGTAATATATTGATGTATCGTACAATTTATTGTAAAATGCGACACATTTTATTTTACTGTAAAGAAATGCCGGTAATATAAGGTATCAAGGATATTGTTGCTTTTATTTTGATTTTCAACGTGGCCATTACACGAGACGCTAGTAAATGAAATGATATAAAGATAATCATACATAAGAATAAGATATGATTACAAATGAATAATCAAGTCCCATAAACCATCGAAAGACAGTCTATGCTTTTTTCTTGCTCCCATCTCTGGCCACAAAACCCAAATCTTTCTTTGCATCATTCATGTTGAGCCAAAGTTGATAGTTATCTGAACAGACAAAATACGTGCCACTCTCCTTTCGTACAAGAGCATCAAGAGCTCTGTCGACAAATTCACAAAGATCTCGATGACTGCACCACACTGTACGCTCCCACTTATCGTCTGCAGCTTCATTGCGGACATTAATCCAGCCGAATCGGGCGCAAATAATGTTTTTGTCACGCGTCGCATGAGCTATTTGTTCGCCTAATAGTTTACTTTGAAAATAGGCTTGATCGATTGGTGTGAACACACCGTCAATAGGAGGATCATTGGCCACAGTTAACTTTCGAATTGGAATCGAATCGTCGAGGGTTTGAGCCACAATAGACCGGTACGGTTCTTGTGTTAAATAGCCAAACATAGTTCTCACTGAACTAGCATAGAGAATTGACTGGACACCGGCTAAAAGATAAATTTGAGATAGGTATCTCAATACAGGGTGTTCCAAAAGTTCCATCGAAAAGTTTACATAAGTATCTCTTATACAATTCAAACGATTGAATTGCCTTTTTTATAGTATGATAGGATATTCTTTAAAGTTTTATTTCATGTAATTTTGGTCATATGTAACTGTGTCTATAAACATTAGAATATATTAACTTCATTAATGGCTAAATTTTAGCTATCTTTCTTAATGAAACGAAAAATGCAAACCGATTTTAGCCTACAAAGACAAGATTTGTACTGTACTAGGGATGAGTTTTAACGCTTTTGTGAAACTAATATAGGAGTAGATCGACAACTCCCTGAAAGACCTTCAGAAATTACAGAAGACAAACTCAACGAAGTTTTATGATGTTTATGAAAATGAGCCACTATCGACTGTTTCGGTTGTTGCCATAGGCTACTTCTTGCCAGAAATAAGAGTGCATCGAATTATGACTGAGTATACTCCATTGGAGCCCACCGAGATATAATTTGTTCAAGGCTTCACGAGGAATACTCATAAGACCGAGTTGAAGCTATATAGCCTTGATACCAATGTTAAAGAACATTAACCATCAAGAGAACTCGCTGTTTTGGACGATGCCGCTTTTCATTTTAAATCGTTTATCGATAAATATATATTGAAAACCAATGTACATACGACACATACAAAGACATGATTAAAATCAAAACCAGAATCGACAGTAGAAATAAACTAATTCGAAAGTACATCTTCTGCAGTGTTTTTTTTTTCAAATATTTCGAAAATAATGGTTTTCTGTATATCAGGTGAAGATGATTATTTTCAATATTTGCTGGATGTCAAATTATATGAAATAAAACTTTAAAGAAAATACTCTCATAATGTAAAAAAAGGTAATTAAATCACTTGAATTGTATAAGAGATATTTACGTAAACTTTTTGATGGGACTTTTGGAACATCCTGTACATAATCTTTCCTGATTAGTACCATAGTGGCTAGCACACATGTACTATTCCTATCATTGGAAGTTACAATGCTCGCTATTTTGGCGTGTCTAGCTCGTAACCGGTCTGTAATTGAGAGATAGATGAGTTTATGAAGTAATTCTTTTCTACAAATATCTTTCAAACAACATA